ACGACTTCTCAGCAGAAACAAACAAACTATTGAAAAACAAAAAAATGTCAGTCTATGAATAATTCATTCCAGCATTATGTGGGAACAGTGCTCCTCTCTGACCGACACTAAACACAACAAATGCATTTTTGCAGACCTGGACAGTCGCCTCTCAGGAGGACTGCCTAAACTAAAAAAAAAAGAGCTGTTTTCACCATCCAAGGAGAAAAAAAAGAGAGAGAGAAAAATGTCGAAGACAGCTGAAGAGGAAACAAATGTAAACAGACATTGGATCTTCGAACCAAAGTTCTTGTAAATCTTGCAGAATGAACTCAGACGATTTTTAATTTTCAAATATTATAAGCCCAATTGTCGTTATTCAAGCTGTGGAAAATATACAAATAAACTCCGAATTATTTGCAACTCGGAACTGTTGAAGTTAAGAAATTGTAAGCTGCTTTTCTTCTAACAGCTGTTTGTAAATGTTTAGGAACAGAGTTTCTGGAGTTTTTGGAGCAAATTCCTGTCTAAAGTTGGATTCAAGCTGTTTAATAGCCTTAGGTCTTCATTGCTTATTGCTTTACTGGATGTTGTTTTAAAATCTGTTCACGTTTTTTTTTTTTTTTTTTTTTTTTTTGCATTGAGTGTTTTTGCAGGACTGCAGTCTGTCCATGCCACAGACATTAATGCACCCCCATACCATCAGAGAGGCAGGCAGAAAGAAAGAAAATGCTACTAAAACTACACATTTTCCTATTTTAAATTCTCATCGCTAACTGTGTTGATACTTTTCTTTAAATGCAAAGTGAATTCATCAGTTCAGATGAGGTGTTAACTATGCAACACCTGCGCTGACAGGTACATGCCCAATACTTGCTTGCCTTGACCTGTTCAAAATTCCACTTGTGTTTAACGAYGACACACAGCACACAGCAACACCTGGTCAGTAGGAAACGCTTTTCACCCTCTGCTTCGTAACAATGGGTCAATTTACTTAATCCTCCTCAAACTTAAAGGGAAAAATACTTTATGTTTAAAGTGATGTTATCCAAAGTAGGAGGTGGGGAGGGATCAGAAAAAATGTTTGACAAGTCTGAAATTTGTGRCCCCAAGCTAGTTTTGGATCATAGTTTTGAGCTGTTATAAACGTGTTGAGAAAACTGCTGATCTAATCACATCTGACTCCACATCAGCTACAAGCTCGCCACAGTGACTACACTGCCTCTGTGTGGACRACGCTGGTATTACATCTACATTTAATAAAAGATGTGGTAATATTAGTAATTCTGTTTGTAACAAATCTAAAACTAACTTATTCTTGTTTTTTAACACTACAGTCAACCTAAATAAAGTTAATAATATGTTCTTAATTTGTTTAAGTTTGTAATGCATCGTATTCTGCAGGATGCTCTAATAATATTTTAATTATAAACCGAGTCACACCATCTTTCTCACACAGGAAATGCAAACAGCTGTTTTAATGCATGAGACAAAAACACAAGATGTCGAAGGCACGCTGCAAATAACTCGATAACGCTGCACTTGCTGCAAGAAATTGGGCATCGCAATGTTTTATTTACCCGGTATTACTTTTTTAAAATAAAAATGAAGCATCTTACCTAGAATGCGTCAAACTGTTAGGAAGTTTCAGCTGTTTCTAAAGTGCTTCAGTGCTACAAACTCTTCCGCTGCCGTTATCTCAGTCGGCATGGCCACATCACTTCCTCTTTGCAGCAGTGTGTGTACAGTACGTGTGTAAAACTTAATGTGGAGTCTATTCCTGCCTGCACGGCTCCTTATTTCGTAGCAAATGGTTGGAGTAAAACCAACAAACTTCTAGTTC